ACCTCCTGTGCTCCCCTCCTGCCCTTGCCTTTATCCGCACCTCTCCTGGCTTCCTCCTATCCTGACCCTCCCCAATTCGCCTCTCGCCCGCCAGTTGTGGCCTTTTCGTAGGGCCTGGTCGTTAGTAATGAGCCTCAGGGCCTTGCCATGCCACGGATCCCCCCTCCTCCTCATGCCCAACAGACGCCGTCGGTTGGCGCTCCGACGTCAGTCAAGGCTCCCTCTACGCCTTCCAAGGCTCAAGCTATCAGTTTGTTTCCCGGGAGCCCGCTTGCGTTGCCCCTGTGGCCTCTGCTATAACACAGTCATTCACAAGTCCACTAGCTTCGCAGCAATTTGGTAGACTGCCAATTTCGCACCCCTTATCTGAATCGCCGATCTCGCAGTTGCCCTTTGCTGGATCACAGCCAGCCTTGGTCGGACCACCCACCACGCAGTTGCCTTAGAACAGACCACCCATGCAGTAAACATTCACCAGATCCCCAGTTTCACAACTGCATATAGGCTCAACAACCTCCCAACCGTATGTAGGACGGCCATTCTCGCCATTATATTTCGATCCACCATCTTGGCAGCTATTCTCAGGGCGCCCCTTTGGGTAGTCATCACAATCGAGCTAATTATATATTCTTAGTTAGATATTTTTAACTTCTCGATCCAATAGATTATAAAAAATAATTTTACTATCATTGTTCAAAATATATTAATTTTACAAAATGATAACTTTTATGAAAGCTTTGCTATCCTTTTATTCAGGTTCGCTATCCACCCGAATGACCTATCCAACCGCAGCATCAGTGACGTGTGTAAGGCTGGTGGCTCTCTGCTAACTATGGCATTTCGAAGAAGATTTAGGCGTCACCTTTGACCTTTATGAAGTCCAACGATAAGAGCGACAAGTACAAGGACGAGGATGAGAACAACCTAGTCGAGAGCTTCTTACGGTCTAAGGATACTAGATTAACTTTGGCTTCGGAAGTTCTTCACCTCGAGTATGACTTTGACGAGGAGGTGTATGTAGCGATGGTGGTTGATTTGGGTATAGTCGAATATGATTCAGACGACAACTCGATTGTGGTGGACAAGAGGAAGATCGATTCAATTCCAACATTAGATCATAGCACCATTGATTATGAGCCGTTTAACAAGGACTTTTATTAGTAGCAACTCTCAGTAAATTACTGAGGAAGATATAGCAACCCAAGCCGTTCAGCACCATTGATTTTGTTATGCCCTAATTAAAATTTCATAATCATTCAATTTTCAAAAACCCTTAGGGTTTGTCGAGAGAGGGAGGGCTATAATTTTTTCCCTAGTTTTTTCAGCAATCCGAACAATCTCCGAGGAAGATATAGCTATTCATTATGGTTCAAGAGTGATAGAGTCTACGATTGATGATATAGATGAGGACGAGGCATCAAGGTAAAGATTTTATCATTGAAAGGCTTCTGTTTAAATTTTTTTTATTTAGAATCATTATATTAAATGCATATTTGTTGAATCATAACTTAAATCATGGTTTTCAACTCCTGTATAATTTGAATCACTGTATCGAAAGAGTGATTGTTTATCTTGCTGTTTAATCACCGTGTTGAATTACTGTGGTGAAACATAGTTTACCTTATTGTTTATGGAGTTAACAGTTCCCAGTGTTAAGATTTTATGTGTTGAGATGTGCGTCCAACTCCTGTTTATTGATGTTTACTGAGTTAATAGATCATGGTATTATTATTTTGTGTGCTGAGATGTGGTTGTGACTCCTATTTACCTTACTGTTTACTGAGTTAATAAGTCCGTGTTAAGAGTGGTGGCATCATAATCACAGTTTACTATAACTCTGATGTGTGTGCTTCTAACTCCCAAGAAAGACCGGAGTACACCTATGTGGGAATGTGCTATTGTGTTTATATGTGTAGGTGACACTTTTCCATTAGGGAATATTTTGATGCTGGGATCACAAATACTTGCTTCCAACTTATCTCATATTTTCAAATGGCTTCCTTATTGTTCTGTGTCAATAGAAAAATACCTAAGCATTAGGAGTCAACTCTTGGATTCCATTGCAATTAGTCCTACAAGTTTTATGATTAGATATATAGAATGATAGATATTGTGATAAAAATTTTATAATTTATAGCTATATCCTTATGCAAAGAATGATAGAATTTTTATTTAATAGGTCAGTTATCTTTACTTTTATATTGTTTTTGTCTCTTATGTGATCTTTTTTTGTTGACTGTGATAATGATTTGAATGAGAGTAAGAATGAACGAGATAGAATAGAAAAAGGGTTGGGGATACAACAATTCAAGATGAAGTTGAGGGAATTGATCAATAACCTACATTTTATGAGGTAGATCTTACTTGAGTTATATATATATTGGATCAACTTAGGTAATCTACCGTCATATTATTAGAAAATGAAGAGGAAGATAATAGTGATGGTAAAGATGCAGTCCATGTCAAAGTAAATGACAAAAATAAAATAAAATATAATATCTATACTTTGATGTTAGATGCGACAATAATAATCATGACTTTCAATTTGGAATATGTTTTGCTAATGCTGAAAAGTTTTGTGTTGCAATCAAGTAACATACCATTTATATGGGCAAATAACTTAAATATTCAAAGAATGATAAGGATATGATTAGAATGGTATGCCAAGAAAAGCATGATTGGATGATATATGCATAAAAAATATAAAGACAGAAAGCTTTGTAAGTAAAAAAATTTAATTCTGAACATTTATGTGACAATCTTCTAACTACAATTAAGTGGTTGATCGATAAATATTATGATAGGATTATTATGAATGCCACTTAGCCAACAAAGTATTTGAAGACAATAATCTAACAAGAATATGCTTTGAATGTTCTTATATACAAAGTATATAGAGTGAATAGGGAGGGATATGATTTGTTATGAAATTATTGTGAGGAGATATATGTGTCATGAAACATAGATCTGATAGGAAAAATAATATATTTTGCAAAATTTACATATGCTTTGCTGCATCGAAGGAAGGATTCCTACCGTATAGGCACATTATAGGTGTTGATGGATGTCATATTATTGACTACTGTTGGGATTGACTTAAATATGAAATGTATCAATTTGCATATGCAATCGTTGAGAAGAAGAATAATGATGCATGGAATTGGTTCATCAGCTTAGTAGTCAGGGATTTAAATATCTTAGTTAACAGTTCAGATGAGTGGACATACCATCACTAACAAACAAAAAGGTGTATTGGAGGCCATTGCACACTTGAGCACAGATTTTGTTTAAAATATTTATATAATAATTTTAAGAAGAAGAAGCATAAGGGATTAACACTAGAGAAATTATTTTGGAGAGCTATAAAAGTACACATGACTTCAATCAAGCAATGGATGAACTTCGAAAGACTGACAAGGATGATAGATTTGGTTAACAGATAGTTCATTATGTAAATTAGGCAAAATCACACCTAAACAATAGCAAAGTATGATATTCAATTGAATAACTTTTTGTAAAAACTTCAATTCAATCATATGAGAAGCTTGACATAATCAAATCATCACGAGTCAAGTTAATGGAGAGGATCTAATACACTGTGAGATTTATTAAACATACTTAAATGAGATTCATTAACCGACTTAATGATGTGGAGATTGATCAAAAGAATATAAGATAAACAATTATTGAAGAAGTTTTATTGAAGATAAAAAACTTTAGCTTGAATACATTAACTTTTTCCTCTCTATTTATATAGATTAGGAGGAAGGATTTTCCTCAACAGAATATAATTTTCCTCAACAGAATAAAAAGATTTCCTCATATAGTTATATAGTTGGGGGATCTTCTACCAGAGAAGTGGATAAATATTATTGAAAAACCACTTTCTTAGAGGTCTATAGTCATCTCCTTAATCTTTCGGAGAGAAAGGAGATATGGTCGATTAACAATTATAAACCACTAAAGCCTCCTGATCTTCCTAAAAGAAAACTTAAAAAATAATAAAAATTAACAAGAAAATGTCCCATAAAAAAGGTAAAATAACACAAGCTGAATAATATGCTACCGAAAGGTCCTACGCTAAAAAGGTAAAATACCATAGTCTTTGTCCCATAAAAAAGAATGTAGGAAAAGACAAACATCTCCAGCAATAACACAAGCTGAATAATATGCTACTAAAGCACAACCAGAACATCCTGCTAGTGTGGCATGGCTGTTGCTTTTAATCCACCTGTGAGTGCTCCAGTGTATAAGACAGGGTGGACTCCACAGTAGACACTAATGGTAACACTAGATAATGAACATCCTCCAATACTAAGGAATAAATTGCAGTAATTATGTGCTTGTTCTTGATTCAATTGCTATTATTATTTGATTTGTTTTTTTTTTTACTCTAGATTAAAAGAAAACAATGATCTTTTGGATAGCTTTTGATCATTTTGAATAACCTTTGGTAATTTTCGACAGATTTTGATCATTTTGGATAGTCTTTGGTCATTTTTGGAGGGCTATAAATTAAATTGATAGTTTGGTCATTTTGAATGACTGTAAATTAAATTGGTTGAGTTCTGGGAAAGCTCTAAATGTTTTGTTCAAATTCATATTCCAGATTTGTGCAGATTTGTCGATGAGTCTCTTAGATGGATACGTATTTGCGCTGCTGAAATATAACATGTAGTTCCATGCTTTCATATTTATTTAGTTTTATATTCCAGATCAAATGTTCAGATTGAATACAACAGTGTCATATTCCAGATTTATTGAAATGAATGCCTTGCTTTCATATTTATTCAGTTTCATATTTCAGATCAAATGTTCAGATTGAATACAACAATGTCATATTACAGATTTGTTGAGATGAATGCTTTGCTTTTATATTTATTCAGTTTCATATTCCAGATCAAATGTTCAGATTGAATACAAGAATACAACAGTGTCATATTCCAGATTTGTTGAGATGAATGCTTTGTATTCCAGATCAAATGTTACATTTGCATGCTTTCATATTCCAGATAATATACATTTGTTCATGCTTCCATATTCCAGACATGTTCATTTGTTCACTTTTCTACAGCAGTAATTCATCTGAACAGCTTTCAGCTACACTGGTCATATTCCAGATGACACTACTTCAATGTAGCTGCATTTGTTCATGCTTTCATATTCCAGATGAGTCCATCTATTCAGTTTCCTGCAGCAACAACTTTCAGATGCAGTAGTCATATTTGTTCATGCTTTTTTTATATTCCAAACGAGTCCATTTGTTCAGTTTTCTGTAGCAGCAATTCATCTGCAGCACAAATGTTCAGGTTTCTACCGCAAGAGCTTTCAGCGGCAATAGCTTTTAGCAGCAACAGTCATTCACAAATGCAACAGCTTTCAGCAACAACAACCATTCAGTATATACATCCAATTCAATAATTCTTAGGAATGAACTGGACATTGTATTTCTTCATTTAAAGGTGGTACATAACTTGACACAAAACTAAGGAATGAACATCCATTACACTACAAGTGTAATCCTTACAGGATCAAAGAGAATTTCTCTTGCTAAGCGTTCAACTTTGTATAACATAGTGGCAGAAAAAAAGTAATGTCTGCTGATCTGGTCTAATTTGACCAACAATAGATTGTCGTTGTGGCTCAAAGCCAGAAAGTACAATGGGCAGAGCCTGACACTGTATTGTTGTTAGCTTCTCATAGCCCTGCTTTGTGATAGCACCCATTAGTGCAATAGAAAACCCAACATTCTTCAAAGAGTTGGATTGGCTTTCGTACATCAAAACCTGAAACCCTTCACCAAGGTCTGATGTGCCTCCAGAATACGACGATCAGCAGAGAGCCATCGACCTTGCGCATGCCACTAACGACGTTGTTGGGTAGATAGTCATGGAGGATAGCGAAATCAGATGGAAGGATAATGAAACCGAAGGAGAGGATAGTGAAGCTTTCACTAAAGTTATCTTTATGTGAAATTAATATCTTTTGGATGATGCAAGAGATGAGGATAGTAAAATTATATTTTTATCTCTCTTTTTCGTGTTATTCTTGCACGTGACATATGCCATATCTTTCGTTGGTAAAGTCGATGGCGTTAGGAAAAATAGGGTTAAATGTTTCACTTTTAAAATTATAGGAATGCCAATGTAATTTTTTTAAGTCTAAGGATAGGGATGCTAAAGATTAGTCTAAAGGTAATTAGCTCATGAAATTTTATTCTCTATCTATGATAACAAGACTAACCTTCATTTAAATATAAACGATGCTGAATTCTTTCTTCTTTTGTTGGTTGCTAAAATTCGACTAATCTTAAACCCTTCTATATCCTATTTGGTTAACGTCATGCCTTGCTTTAGTATTATTCTTCGTTGCTTTTACCTATGCTAAGTCGATATATGATTGAAGCTGACATCAAGATATTCTTTTAAATTGGTTTTAGGTGCTCCCTTCCATGTCGGGCTACATGGGATGCAATATTTATATTCCTAAATATTTAGGACATATTTTTCAAATAATTTATAAATTTTAATAATTAAGTTGTATTAATTTTTTTATTATTATTTGATACACTTATATTTGACGATTAAGGTGTGAATAATTTAAGATTAATCAGAAATATATCATAAGAACCGAAGGACAAGTTAATAGTCTTAGTAAAAGATTCGTGGTGATAAAGAGACATATCCAAGAAATATGATGATTAATATGTTAATAAAATTGTTGGAGAGATAATCTAGACAACTATAGTAGTTATTGGCCCGAGCACAGGAGGTGGGTCAATAGCATATGATGTCGTAGAATCAACAAGCTGAGAGGTTTAAAAAGAATAATCCGTCAATCTTCGAAGGTGATACAAATATACTAATAGTTGAGAAGTGGATAAGAAATATTGAAAGAATCTTTGAGTATGCAATGATTCTAGATGAAGATAAAGTGATTTGTACAACTTATATTATGCTAAAAGATAACCATCACTGGTGGGATGCAAGAAGGGAACTGTAGATGCTGAACAAAAGATCCGAGAAAGATTTAAGGAGATCTTTGACCAAAAGTATTTCAGTGTAACCCACCGATCAACCAAAATGAAAAAATTTGTTGACCTCAAGCAAGAAAATCAATCGGTGATATATTACATCAGGAAGTTTGAGGAGTTATCCCGATTTACCCCCACATGGTTAGCACCAATACCTTGAGGGTGGATTAATTTTTATAAAGATTTATAGTAGTAATTTATCACAATATGAAGATGACAATGAATGCCCTAGATATTCCTTATTCTCTAGTAATGAAATGGGCCTTGGAGGCAGATGAAGTCGAGTAAAAAATTTTTCAAGCCACATAGATGCACCACAGTCATGATGTGTCAAGGATATATTTTAGCAACAAGCCACGATAATAGATTCTGAACTATAAAAGAAAATTGTACCCATGTCAAGGATAATAATAGAGGCAACCTAAATGTCTTACACAAAGAAAGTTAGTCAGATGTCCTAGTCTTCTTAGCCAATTCAAGCGTAAAGATCCACTTATCCTGAATGAGGAAAGTATCATATGGGAATATGTCTTAAAGTTAAAAGACTATATTTTTGATGTGGAAAATCAAGATATTTAGCAAGGAATTGTATAACAATCTCATTAGAACAAAGAAAAGTTTCGGGCAAAGTCTTTGTAATGACCAAGTAGAGGCTAGCTTTTCAGTTATCTCAGGTGAGATATTTATTTATGACATTTCTTTGTATGCATTAATTGATTCTAACATCACGTATTTTTTTGCATTATTAGTTTGTGTGGAGAAACTAGACAAACGAACTAAAGCATTGGATATAATATATTGCATAATTATTTTATCAGGAGATATAATGTATTTAAGTCGGGGATTGAGATTTTGTCCCATTCATATTGCTAAAAAAGAATTAATTACAGACAAAGAATTAATTATGGATTTAATAATATTAAAATACAGGAATTTGATATTATACTAGGCATGTATTGATTATCTAAACATCATGTTTTCACTAACTATTACAAGAAATGATAATATTTCAACCTATAGGATCAACAAAATTTATATTTACTGAAGAAAAAAATATCAATATAAAAAAAATTTAAATGATAAAATATATAGAAAATCTAGCAAAGGTAAAACCGAAGAAGGGGTTTCAGATGAGTCGAATTTTAGTAAACAAACGTTTAAAAAATTCACCTTTTTTTATCGTTTAGATTCAAGGCAAGTCTTCTGACTCTTGGCAGACAACGAAATTTCACTCACCTGCCAAGCTGGAGCTGTAGTGGCGAAAGATCGAGGATGGCCGTCCTGCATACGGCTGGGAGGTTGATGAGCCCATATACGGCTGTGAAACCGGCGGTCTGGTGAATGTCTGCTGCGTCGATGGTTGATGCGATGTGGGTGGTCTGTTGAAAGGCAGCTGCGTGGTGGGCGGTCCGGCCAAGGCTGGCTGTGATCCAGAGAAGGGCGGCTGCGAGGTCGGCCATCCAGACAAGGGGTGTGACATTGGCGGTCTACCGAATTGCAGCGAAGCCGGTGGACTTGTGAACGTCCGCGATGCAGCAGCAGCCACAGGGGCAGCGGCAGGCGGGTTCCCGAGAAACAGACGGACAGCGTGAGCCTGGGAAGGCGCAGCCGACGGAGAGGGAGCCCTGACTGACGCCGGAGCGCCAAACGGCGGCGTCTGTTGGGCATGAGGAGGAGAGGGGATCCGCGGCGCGGCAAGGCCCTGAGGCCCGTTACTGGCGACCAGGCCCTGCGGAAAGGCCGCAGTTGGCGGGCGGGAGGCGAATTGGGGAGGGGCGCCGGCGACATTTGCGTTGGCGGAGGGGGCGAATCCTGGCCGCGGCCTCGGGGGCCCCGAGGCGAACGGCAGAGACGACGACGCCATATGATAAGGGTAAAAATGACAATCAGTCTCAGGACAATGACAGCTGCTCCAGATGACGTCACGCACCTTGGAATTGATCAGAACGCTGACCGAGTCACATTAATATCCTGCAAAAGCCAAGTCCAACATGCTACGCCATCGCTACTGTTAGGAGTACCAACCTGCCCCCTGCAAGCGGACAACTCAGGAAGCAGAATGCTTCCCTATAAATACCCTCTCGTTCATTAGAAGAAGGGGGAAGCGGGACACACTCCAAAACACTTCTTCTCTTGAAACCCCCTCCACATCTTCCTCTAACTTGATCGTCGAAGGGGTCGGGTCGAGCACCCCGACCCAACCTTTGTGCAGGTGCGAAGCCGAAGGACCTCGTCGGTTCCGCAGGCCGAGACGACCACATCGCCCCGATCGGACACCGCCCCCGACCTCCTTAGCGGGCTCGAGGAGCGCCCCCAGGGAGATCCCCGCCTTCCGAACCCGAATCGAGCTGCGTCGGCCTCAAGGCCACGGCTTAAAAAGTTGTTTCCCACAACATTTTGGCGCTAGAAGGAGGGCCGGAATGTCGGGTGACAGCCCGCTGCCTCGGCTGCTCGGCCCCATGCGCGGCCAGCCTGCTGCCTCGGCCCCATGCGCGGCCAGCCCGCGTCATCCGCTCGGCTGACGGCGCAGCCTGCTGCCTCGGCCCCATGCGTGGCCAGCCCGCGTCAGCAGCTCGGCTGACGGTGCAGCCCGTCTGCGTCGTGCTCCTCGGCCGCACAATGCCCGAGACCACACCTGCGTGGTCTATCCGCCTGCGTCGTGCTACTCGACCGCATGACCATCGCGACCACACCTGCGCGGTCTGTCCGCCTGCGTCGTGCTACTCGGCCGCATGACCATCGCGACCACACCTGCGCGGTCTGTCCGCCTGCGTCGTGCTACTCGGCCACATGACCATCGCGACCACGCCTGCGTGGTCTGTCCGCCTGCATCGTGATCCTCGACCGCATAATGCCCGAGACCACACCTGCGCGGTCAGCCCGCTTGCGTCGTGCTCCGTGGCCCCATGTTCCCGAGACACACCTGCGCGGCCAGCCCGCCTGCGTTGTGCTCCCTGGCTCCATGTTCCCGAGACACACCTGCGCGGCCAGCCCGCCTGCGTTGTGCTCCCTGGCTCCATGCTCCTCGAGACCACACCTGCGCGGCCAGCCCGCCTGCGTCGTGCTCCTCGGCTCCGAGCAGCCTGAATCCCATCTCTGCGCAGCCTGCTTGCCCGAGCATGTACCTCGGTTGCACGCCGCTCGAGACCACCACGGCACGCCCAACCCGCCTTACTCTCTAAACTTGGGTCATACCCCAAGTAATGGATCGACAACTGCCCGGCAAGAACGAATACATGAAGCTGAAGCCATGCCTCGGACCCCTATTACAACGACCGACGCATAGCTTCTTTCGGGGGGGGAATATGATAAGGGTAAAAATGGCAATCAGTCTCAGGACAATGACAGCTGCTCCAGATGACATCACGCACCTCGGAATTGATCAGAATGCTGACCGAGGCACATTAATATCCTGCAAAAGCCAAGTCCAACACGCTACGCCATCGCTACTGTCAGGAGTACCAGCCTGCCCCCTACAAGCGGGCAGCTCAGGAAGCAGAATGCTTTCCTATAAATACCCTCTCATTCATTAGAAGAAGAGGGAAGCGGGACACACTCCAAAACACTTCTTCTCTTGAAACCCCCTCCACATCTTCCTCTAACTTGATCGTCGGAGGGGTCGGGTCGAGCACCCCGACCCGACCTTTGTGCAGGTGCGAAGCCGAAGGACCCCGTCGGTCCCGTAGGCCAAGACGACCACATCGCCTCGATCGGACATCGCCCTCGACCTCCTCAGCGGGCTCGAGGAGCGCCCCCAGGGAGATCCCCGCCTTCCGGACCCGAACCGAGTCGCGTCGGCCTCAAGACCACGGCTTAAAAAGTTGTTTCCCACAACACCATCGATTAAGAATTAAGCTCAGAACTTGGATTGGAGAGAGAGCGAAAGGGGTAAATCCTCCGATACGAGCAAGGCGAAGGGAGAGATCGCGATCGGACGAAGGAGTAGAAGCTAAATGGAGCCGAGGCGGGATCGGGTGTGAGGGAGCAAAGTAGTGGAGCTCCTTGAGGACCGTGTAATGAAGCGAGCCGTTTAAGGTGGCGCGAGGGGATTAAGGTGTACAGAATGAAGGAGGGTGTATCCCGTCGGAGGGCGAGCAGACGGAGAGGGAAACCGAAGGGATTCGTTAAAGTGCGGATGGTTTTGGTCGCTGCCGGAAGGCAGGTAATTATGATAATGACAGCCACGTGAGACACGCGTGAGGCTTCATGGTTGATGATGCTCAAGCCACTTAGGAACTAAAATGCATTTGATTTCGAGTAATGAGAAATATGCTCATTTCATAAATAATTTTTGGATATACAAATGGGAGGCAATTTTATTTATTAATGTCATAACAGAGATTTAATATAAATTTATAACAAAAAGGGGATGTAGCTCAGATGGTAGAGCGCTCGCTTAGCATGCGAGAGGTATGGGGATCGATACCCCGCATCTCCAATTTATATTTTTTTTGAATTATAAATTTTCTTAATTAATTTTTTTTTTCCAGCAAGTGAAAAAATATATTCGATCACGGTAAAGGATTCTTGTTTTGTTTTCTTTGTGGAGAAGTGATAGAAAGAAGTCTCATTTTTCATAACATCAAATAGTCTCCCATTACTATTTAAAAAATGCACATAAATTATACATTTATGTTATATAAAATATAATAAAAAATATTATATTATAATAAAAACTAATGTTATGGATGAGTATAAGAAAACACTAGCTTTGGTATAACTTTTTCTCTTATAATACCACTTAGAGCTAAAGAAAGAATATTCTTATTTTAAATAAAATGTTTTTTTCTTAGGTTTCAATTTTTTCTAGTTAGATATGGTCTCTCCCACCTTTGAGACTTGAACCGACCTCCCAAATGGAATTGATGAGGTATTTTGCTTTCTTGATCTGTTTGGTTTGAAAATTAGTGAGCATTGGCCACAAAATCTGCATATATTGATTAGATTTCGTCCCCTCATCTCTTTGGTGAAGTCACTTTTAACTACACCTTCTTACCCCCCAATTCACCCACCAATAGTGAGGGTTTGATCGACTAAAAGATAAAATGTTTGATATTTCAGTATGATAGAGGATATTTTGGTACTACCCAACTAGTAGCCATCTCAGATCATTTCACTCTAGTCAAAATAATATACACATATCAAAACAATACGAAATAACACAAGAATGGCTACGTCCTAAAGTGATGCAGTCTAGTTCAGAAGCGATGCCACCCAACTTCGAAGTGGCATACTACAAATCTGAAGCGGTGTGCTGCAAATCCATGCTATTCGGAATCAAGTGATGCTTACCAGCGAGGATACAACCCCGTAAAGCATGGGGTCGGAAGGGTGGTCTCGAAGCATACAAATCGCTCGTTGAAAATGTTGACGGACACCAGCAAGCACAAGGGGAGTCAAGTCAAAATTTCACACTCCGATGATGACTTGTTGTGCGGGGTCTCAGGACCAAAAGCCCCTCGCAGAATTGTCGAAGAAAACCCTAGGAGACGACGACCATGGTTCTTCGTCCCTTCTCCGTGAAGCCTTCCTTTCGAGTAACCATGTGGACGACCTTATACAATCGGGACCAAACCATGTCATGGCCCTTCCTGAGCCACGATATAAAGAATCACATCATTTTGACACTAAATGGAGGGTCCCAATATTGCAAGAGCATCGCTAGCAAACAACCTCAACGAGCACCCTTCCGAGGAGGTGCTCGCTACCCATTCTACCTTCCGCCTCAGAGACCAATCACTTGCTCCTCTACAGATAAAAGGGAATACCTCCACCCAAATCTCTGCACACTATTAGTGTTCATTCAATGACCTTGGGCCCCCACCTCCCGGGATTAGCATGGGACAGACGGTGGTCCCCATGGAGGCATTCCTTACCCTCACCTGTCAGGTGAGGCATGCAGGCATTGGCATGAATTATACAGACCATCGCACCCGATATACCATAGCTCATTCAAGAAGTGGCTCCTCCCTTGCCATCATCACCCGTATCCCTGCCAACCTTTGCTTGCCCGAGGTGCGACATGTCTCTAGTTAGCCCATCGCTTATGGCTCCTAATGTTGATCCTCCGACCGCGGAATGACCAAGAAACCTAAGGCCAATATCAGGGCGCGACACTCGACATACCATTCTTGCCTTTCCCGAAGCAGATATATTATTGTCTGACTTAGCAGAGGATTCATTATGGACTCAACTGTAGAGGATGAACTGACACATGGACGAGATCCAAAAAGAAGTGTACAAAACCAAGAAAGATCACAGGGATAATGCGATAAGAGGATCCCCCTTCACCCAAGAAATTCAAGACAAACTCATCCTGCTTAACTCCTGCCTCTTGACGTTGGAGGCCTATGATAGTGGTGCTGATCCGGTAGAATATGTCGTTGCTTTTCGAGCCCAGATGGCTTTGTATAGCACATTCGATGCTTTGATGTGCCAAGCGTTTCCCACCACCCTACGAGAACTGGCTCGGGTGTGGTACAATTGACTATAAATATTTCCGCATTTTTTAGTCAACATATGACCCAAGCCATCTGCAACAACACTCCTCGGGCTAAGATAGAAGGAGGATGAGTCTCTCTCCCTCTTCGTCACTCACTTTGCCATAGAAATTCAAGGGGTAACTGATGCTCACCCCTCATTAATTACACATGCATTCATTGTTAGGATCAATACGGTACTAAGAGGAGGGGGTGAATTAGTACTTATGATAAAAACATCGATTTGAAAAATATCATTCGATAAAATCATTTCGACAAAGCCCGTATCGGAAAGCAATGAGAGTAATGACTTAGAGCAAATGTAAAGTGAAGTGAGCAGCTAAGTAATGAAAGTAAGTAATAAGGAAAAAACACACTAGATTTA